ATTTCATACAATAAATATTTTCACGATGTTAGCGGGTCTGTTATTGGTTTGATATATTATTAGATAAATAATTATTATTTTTGTATATTATTTTTATTCATTTTATAGTAATAAATATAATAATTTTTTTCAAAGTAATATATCGATGTAATTCTGAAATCATATTATAAATTTATTGGTACCAACTTTGTCAAAATAATAAATTTTAAGATAAACTGAATACTAAAATATTAAAAAAAAACGTAGAGCTATGAATAGTACCAAGCTAGATATAACGCAGTACCGTTCATAACTCTAGAGTATAACTGGACTTCACTTTTGGTAAAATTCTAGCATTTCACGCTAGAGTTGAGCGATATTGGGGTTGCTCTTACGACATTTGTATAAAATAGAATATACTTTTATAAATGAGAGAATAAAATGCATACTCACCAAATTAAGATGATATCTTATGAATAACGATACCTTTTATGTTGATAATAATTGTTTGACTTTACTTGACGAATTGCTCAACTATGCACCTTGATACGCAAATTGTCTTCAGGCCAGGTTTAAGCCGGCACAACCACGCACCACCCTTCGCCTTGAGGTGACCTGCAAACACGCGGGAGAGTCCCAATGGAAAACCTCCGACGTTCAAGTCAGACCTCGCTCGTGGGTTTTATGAAAACTGTATTAATATATGTTAAATTGAAATAAAACATGGTAACCTCCTTTTATACGGGGGTTATTTTCTTGCTCCAAGTAGTCTAATTAATATGAAAGTGATCCCACGGATCTTGTTTCCTAGTATGACATGTCTCTCAAATCTTGGACTCCTTAGCGAGATACACGTATCATCCTTATTAGGACTCTGTTTCGCTCATTGCCATGACTCTTTAGGTCCTTAGGTCCCCACAACGACCTCGTGACCTAGAAACTACATGCCTTTACAAGGTCGGTAACATGACCTATGTTGTACGATTTTTAGGTCATAACGACCCCTTCATCCAGCCAAGCTCCTCTCCTGATCTCGACTGTCCACCTCCTCTTCCAAGCCGACGTATTCCTCGAGCTGCTACGACGAGCTCCTGGATAAGTAAAGCCTTAATATCAATTCGATCTTTCTTGACCGGTTAGCTCAGAGCTAACCACTCAAACTGGTTCACCAAGCTATCATGTGTGCTATATCATCTGGCCTCCTATTTCGAAATGAGCTACCATGACTTGTTCTGAATATCACAACTTACCATTTGAGTTCCACATTGTATGCGTTGTCAGTTGTCAATTTTTTTAGGCGGAAATTTACATGTTATTTCAAGTAAATCTCTCTCTTTTATATATTAATAGATTGATGGTTGCTTTGATATAGGATTCTTTGGTGGTAAGTACACATTCCAAATGGGACTCTTTAATATTTTTAATCTGATACGTAACTTTTTAAGATTTGTAGACATTCCAAATATCAAATTATGACTTTTGCATTCAGCAAATTATTTCGACATTTAAATTAAATTAGACAGTGAGATTATGAAATTCACTTTTATCGCTATATCCAACCTCCTAAGAATTTTAATATGATGAAATTTAAGAGGTGTAATGTTTACAAATTTGTGGACTCAATTACTACCATAATTTCGAGTATCAATGTATGTAATTATGTTAATTTTTGGTCTAATATGAAAGACAACCAGCATTATAGTCCATAAATATTTGATATTCATTCCAATTTTAAGATATATATATCTCCTTACAAACTCATGGTCAAACAAATTACAAATGCAATACGATTTAATTTTTAAATTTTCGAAAGAGTCTATAAATATTTGATATTCTTTCAAACTGACAGCATATATCGTCCGATATTCCCCCAATTTTAGGATGATTATTTTCAATTTTCCAAAAAAATCAAACAGAGTTTTGTTGAGGTGGGATATTTCAAATTTTCGCCAAAAAAATTGCTGTAAATAGTAATTTTGAAATTTTAGGCGAAAACCAAATGATTTTTAGAGAATTTTTTGTTACTATTTCAAGTTTTGTATTAATAGATAGATTGTTTAAAAAAGAAAAACTGGAAACTACCCAAGACAGTACAAAATCCACTGGAATTTAGGACAATGGAGATGGGCATAGCGTGAGTTTTTTCTATCATGCTCTTTTCACCCAGCCTGCATATTCTGTATCTTCTGTTGTTCGTCTTTTTATTTGCAGACATGCACACAAGAAAAAGGCCGGATCATTTTGTTTCTAACCTAACTCTGTGCTTTTCTGCGTTCTTNATGGATTTCGCGACAATAGATACAGAAGGGCTCAACCTTATGCTGCTTGATCAAATTCAAGAACTAGAACGAAAGGTAATTTTCCTTTATTTTCTTATATTATATAATATAAATATAAATTCTTGATTTCCTTAATTTGTTATGTGTTCGCAAATTGCAATCTTGTATATTTTTTAGTTTTTCTTTTATTTCACCTTTTGTATAATTTGGGTAAGTTATTTCTCGCTTTCTGCCCTTTTATGTGGGAATCTAAGATGGCTTGATGTAGATTTTGGAATTGCTTATCAAAGATTTAGTTTACAAGTAATTCAAACCTGTAGTTGTTGATAATGTCTTTTTATTATTTGATGGCTAATAAATTGAACTAATGTCTGAGCAATAAGTTAGACTTAGAGTTGATTTTGTCCTTACACATTACTGTACTGATTTTCCAAAACACTTGAGTTTATGTACTCTTAAGAACATCTACTTGATGTAGTGAGCGGAAAGGTCGTTTATCGAGTTTTCCTGTAAGATGACAAAGGCCTATAAAAGTTTCTAAATATTTGGAAAAAACACGTGATCAATCTTTACACATTATTATGAATTTGCTACATTAATCAAAGACCTTTAATTGGAAAATCTGAACATGAATGTTTAGATTGAAGATGATGATCTTATCGTATATTGGTGCTTTAGCGTAAGATATGTTATATTCTTTTGTTTATTTGTACAGTACAAATGAAACCTGCCTGAAATGCAAGTTTAAGCTCGGAACAAAGCAGTTTGCTCTTTTTTAATTTGGTGATTAATATGAAAGTTTTTCTGTTTTACCCTTTATTAATTTGATAATGACCATGACTTTTATTTTTTATTTATTTATTTTTCTTTTTGGGTTCTTCGTAGGGAATGGTTGATCACAATTTTAGACAGCCATTCCTTGAAAGATGACTCTGGCCTTCCTTTTGTGCTTCATATGAGAAAGTTTCTATCGTTTTTTTTTAACCTATTTTTATTTCAGCTGTGAGGCCTCTTCCAAAATTATGACTTAACTATTTGAGATTTGGATTTATTTTTCCGGAATTATATTACTTGGAGCGCTTATTGATTTATAAAATTATCATAGAACGATAAAGCAATCTTGAGAATGAGAAGATTTCAAAATCTTGTTCATGTTGCCACATTATACTGTTCTTGTTTTCCTCAGTGTGCTTGGCTTTTGGTTCTTCATCCTTCAAGTGCATTAAAAAGGCATAAACAGATATAACAAAACAAATAATATAACAACAAAAATGCAACCTTATTGAGACACAAATTTGGTGGAATGGAGCAAAAAATGGCATACATCGGCATTGCCAGTTAGATCTATCATCTTTATCAGCACTCTGTTTTCCTTGAGTAGCAACTTGCTTCAAGTCCTGTTAAAGATCATATCATACAGTAGAAGGCAAATGCAATTAGCAAGCTTGCTAAAACATATATAAAAGTATGACATGTTAAATAAAGACGAATATAGTTTGGCAGCATGATACTGCAACATACTGAGAGAATGTTAGTACAGACAATAATATATGCTTCAAGCTTCACGTGTACATAGTCCGATAAACCTTCTCTAGAAGATTTTCTTGTTAGAAAAACAAAATAAATTAAAGGGAAGTTTTTATTTAGTTACTTGTGAATTTATTAAGTTCCTAGTATTTATTATTGATAATATATGAAATATATTTATTATAGTATGTATTATAGAGTCTTAATTTTTAGGAGAAGGATTACATAATATATATACTTACAATATATATATATGTTGTTTGCATTAATGAGTTGGATTTTATACCATAATTACTATTCTATCTTTTGTAGGACAAGGAATATGTGACAAAGACTATATAAGGACGAGCTACCCACACATAAAGAGTCCTGAAAGTTTTGGAGAAAAAATATAAAGAGGATTAGGAAAAATTCACCGCATTATCTCTTAAATTTATCGACTATTTAAAGAAAGTCACATTCCTGCATGATTTTTGAAACGTGAGTTTAAAGATCTCCAAATCACATACACATACATAGCACTTTATTTAATCAAACATGAATTCTCATTCAACATAAATAGTATGAATAACATCTAAAGTCAAGCTTTCAGTCGTCACTCAGATTGGTTTCTCGAGCCTGATACTGCGACGGGGACCACCGATGAGCTTCCTATCCCATAGGATGAGGCGTCGCGGTCACTGGGGTTGAGATGGTCTAGAGAAGCCTGGTGGTTGACCTGCTCCGAACGGACACATGGCCAGCCATGCATCGGCAGAAGTCGACTTTAAGTTTTTTCTAGGAATTTTGTTCTCCATGGATGAAGAAGCTTCGATGGCTTTTTGAACAGTTTCTCACATATGGTGTCAAATGGTATGAAATGACCCTCGACCGGCTGGATTGGAGCTAATCCAACTCATTCGTCGGTGGATGATCTTCAATACCTGCAAAAACCCACCGGAGGGGATTTTTCGGTGAAGAGCCTTCGATGCTTAAGTTAGAGATGTGATGGAGACGATAAATAATATATAAGTGTATAGAAAGTGTGTAATGTAATTCTGAGCATACCTCACTCCGTCATATAGGTGGAGATGATACCTTGTTGCCCAAAATTTCCCGAGTGGGCTGCCCCAATTGCCACTGTACTAGTGTGGAAAGGTGTGAAATCCATAAATCAGTTTTGAAGAATGCAGCTGTGAGAAAGGACACAACAGTTTCCAAGGATATATGTATATCCAATTAGCCCTAATAATCTCATTTATATAGTATAATTTATATTTATTTATTTCCTTTCCCATCCCCAGGGAACCAATACACTTTGACCTCCCCATTATATATTGTCACTATTTTGAATATTGCTGAATATATATTTAATGACAAACATTGAACAAGTCAGTAGCACCAATCTGAGTGACGACTTTTGACTCTAACGCCAATCTACTAATTAATTTTATAAAAATCTCACTCACCACAACTCATTTTGTTTCACTCGCCCACACATACATACATACACTCAGAGAGAGAGAGAGAGATAAATGGAGAGAGATGGTGGTGGAGATTCCACCGGAATATTCCCATTAGACGGAGAAAATGGCGTGATAAAGGATGTTGATGCGGGGGCTCTCTTTGTCCTGAAATCCCAAGGTGAGCAGCAGAGATTAATTAATTAAATTAATGGTTTATCCTTGCTATTAATTAACTTAATTAATGATTCCATATGAGTATTTAGGTTCATGGTTGCACTGCGGCTACCATCTGACGACGGCTATCGTTGGGCCGGCCCTCCTAAGTTTGCCGTTTGCTTTCACCTTTTTGGGATGGATCGGAGGAATTATTTGCCTTACTTTTGCTGCTTTCATCACATTCTATTCCTATACTCTCACGTCCATTGTTTTGGAGCATTATGCACAGCTTGGGAAGCGCCAACTTCGTTATCGAGATATGGCTCATCATATTTTAGGTACATAACTAATAATAATTACTGCACTGCACTGCACCATTTTTTGTTGGAGAAAAAAGTGAGGGTAAATTGAATTATATATTTTTTAATTATTATTTTTCCTATCCCAATATATGTTGTGCGACCTGAAAATGAGATT